AATTTCATATGCCTTTTGGGGTCATTTAGGGTCATTTTATACTTCTGCCCCTGCAGCTGTGGAAGAGACGACTGCCTTGAGAAGCATGATGCAGGAGATAGTGGTGCAGGTGAAGGAAAATTCGACAGAGGTTCAATCTTTCTATGACCCACCTCTTTTTGACCTCTTCTCCGCTAGATGTGATAAATCCTAAGCCTCTAAAATCCCTTATGAGACTTCCCTCCCTTTCACTAGAGGCTGCAGATGTTGCAGCAGATTCAGCAGGGGGAATGTTGTTTGGGGGGAAGAAATGCGGAATGAGGAGGAGTGTGGCCTTTTTTTTTTTGCCTACTTGTCTCACTGAGATGCTGCTTCCACCAAGCCCTGTGGTGCAGAACCATGTGTTCCCTTGTGCATGTGGTACCTAAATGGCTGGTACTTTTACCACAACTTATACGTTGCAGGCAGAGGCTGCAGAACACAACAGTGCTGTCAGCAACAAATACATAAAAAAGGGCCACTCTACAGACTTCTGTAGACTGGTATGTTTTAAAAATAAAAGGAATTTATTGAAAATAACAGTAAACAAAAATGGCAAAAAACAATACAGAAAAACCAGGACATTTTCGATGCCGAGCCACAGGTCAGATGCCAAAGCGGGTAGAAAGCCAAACCAGGTCAGGGAACACTGAGAGCAGAATGAATAGAAACAATTGCCAGAAAAAGGAACCAGGAGATCATTTAGCCAGGGTCATCCTCGGAGAACCAGAACAACAGCAGAGCACTTGGTAGATCTGAACACACAAGTGGGAGACTAAATGGACCAGCTGATGGTTAAATAGTGAACTGCTGTTGCATCATAACTCTGAGGCAGGAATTTGTTAGGAGTTTGTTAGTAGTTGCAGAATGATGTTCTGTGTCATGGGAGGACACCAAAGAGAGACAAAGTGTCAGACATACTGCAAAAAGTCGTGCACAGCCGACTGGAGGAGGAACAGTAAGAAACTCTGACACTCTACCTCTGGGGCAGTGCCACACAATAGAAATAGGATGGCTGCTCCCTCCAGTTCTCAGCAAGCTGCCCATGGATCCTTCCTTACTGCTGTTGAATTAAAAGACAATTTTTTTAAAATCCACCCAAAAAACTAAATACTGCAAGGGGGCCCAACAGCTAAACAGCAACTACTGTTGCTGCTGACACCCAAAAAGGCAGTTATAAAAAAAAGAATGTTGAGTTTGAACTGTGAATGGGGAGGGGAGGGGGAATACAGAAGAATATGTAACCTACCACACTGCAATTCACAGTAATTTAGCACACTATAGCACCGTATAGCAACTAGCTCTCCTGCTCAGATTTTCAGCTCTCCCTAAATTACGCCAACACACTAATATTCTCTAAATTCAAAGGCCAGTCAGTGCATTATGCAACAATTTCTGCAACAATTTACCAGGACCGCAAACCTCTAGAATGCAACTAGAGGAGGGAAATACAATGATCTAGGGAGCAACACCCAACTCCAATATTAGCAGGAAAAGTGACAGGAACGGTGACAGCAAGATATAAGCAGACTTGGTACCAGATACTTCCTTTACATATTTCAGCATGACTAAATATATATATATGTCTTAGGCTAACGGGTTAGCCGCATTTGTGGGAGGAGTCGGCGTCCCTCTCAGTCTTCTTAAAGAGCTGCCCGTCCAGGCTTCCGGGTGTGTTGAACTCGGCGTTGTGGTGACGTCATTTCCGGGGATCCGCTCAACACATCCGGTGCAACGGTACGAAGTCGGGCAGCTCGCCTCCAGGAGATTTTCGTTCTCTCAGCAGGTAAAGCGTCAGGGGTAAGTCGGCGGCAGTTCTCGG